GCCCCAGTATTCCCATCCCACAGCACCATGGTCCCCCAGTATCCACATCCCCTGGTCCCTCAGCATCCCCATTCTCTGGTATCCCCATATCCTGGCACTCTGGACCCCCAGTATCCCCATCCCTTGGTACCCCCATTCCATAGCACCCTGGTCCCCCAGTATCCACATCCCCTGGTCCCTCAGCATCCCCATTCTCCAGTATCCCCATTTCCTGGGACCCTGGTCCCCCAGTATCCCCATCCCATAGCACTCTGGTCCCCCAGTATCCCCATCCCCTGGCAACTCCATCCCCAGCCCCTCATTCCCCCTCACCCACCCAAATTCCCACCTTTGAAGCGCCCGGCCGCCGTTTTCCAGAGCATGCAGCCGCTGTGCACCAGCTTCCTCCGCAGGAGCTCATCTTTGCCGAAAACGCCGGCGCGGCTCTCCCAGGGCAGCTGCACCTTGGCGCGCCCGTCCACGCGCCGGTAGACGTCCCACAGCCGCGCGTTCATCTCGCACGTGTGCACCTCCTCGTTGATGGACGAGATCAGCTCCTTCACCAGCTTCAGCGCCCGCGACAGGTCCGCAGAGTCCCCCTCGTTGTCTGGGTTTGGATGGGGGACACGGTCAGGGCTGGAAATGCCCCCCTTCCCAGCATGGCAACCCCTCCCCGTGCCGCTTGTCCCCAGCCCTGATACCTTTGGAGTTCTTCAGGATGCGCTCGATGAGCACCGGGTACTTGGTGATCCTCTGTGTCACCAGCAAAATGCACTCGGGCACCCCGTGACGCCGCAGCAGCGGGGACCGCGTCATCCTCTGGGTGGCCGGAGGGAGGGGAACAAGCACAGGACACCCCGTTAGCAGCGGCCACATCCCTTGAGCTCATAACCCCGTCAAGAGGCAGCGCAGGCAGTTGGGGAAACTGAAGCATGGAGCTGGCAGAAGGGTTTTCCATAAAGCCTGGACCCTGACACCCACATGGGAGGGGTGGTCACAACCCCATTAAAAGACAGTTGGGGAAACTGAGGCACGGAGCTGGCAGAAGAGTCTTCCACAAAGCCCGGATGCCGACACCCACCCAGGTTAAGGGGCAGTGCAGGCAGTTGGGAAACTGAGCCACAGAATTGGCAGACGGGTTTTCTACAAAGCCCAGATCCTGACACCTAATCAGGAGTGCTCACATCCCCATTAAGAGGCATTATAGGCAGCTGGGGAAACTGAGGCACAGAGATGGCAGATGGGTTTTTCCACAAAGCCCGGATCCTGACACCCAACCAGGGGCTAAGAGGCATTACGGGCAGTTGGGGAAACTGAGGCACTGAGATGGCAGAAGGGTTCTCCACAAAGCTTGGGTCCCAACACCCACACAGGGGTGCTCATCACCCCATTAAGAGGCGCTACACGCAGTTGGGGAAACTGAGGCACAGAGTTAGCAGAAGGATCTTCCATGAAGCCCAGCCCCTGACACCCATGCGGAGCTAAGAGGCAGTACAGGCAGTTGGGGAAACTGAGGCACAGAGTTGGCAAATGGGTTTTGCATAAAGCTTGGACCCCAACAGCCACCCAGGGGTCCCCCCAGCGTGGCGCGGGCATGGGTGCTCACCCGGATGAACTGCTGGAAGCGCTTGTCACGGGCCAGCAGGTCCTTGTACTCCTTGACAGCTTTGGTGTGCTTGCTGCAGAACTCAGAGTAGGCTTTCTTCAGCAGCTCCGCGCTGGCACCCGAAAACTGAGACGGGCAGAGACGAGGGGACATCAGCGAGCCCGTATGTCTCCCGCCAGCACCCGGTGGGCCTGGGGACCCCGCGGCGCCCCCACCTGGTTGACGAGGATGTCCCCCAGGCGATTGATGACGAAGTTCTTGTTGCTGTCGTGGGCCAGGGAGTCCCTGCGGCGCTCCAGGAGCTGCGCCAGGAAGCGCTCGTGGAGCTGGCTCAGCTCGTCCACGCACGGGAAGATCCTCTGCACCACGGCCGGGTCCACCTGCAGGTCCTCCAGCATGGCCGTGCGGAACAGGCTGGCCATGATCTTCAGCGTGCGCACGTGGTGGATCTCCGTCTGGATCAGCTCTGCCACGGGTGGGACGGGTGAGGGGACAGCCCCGTCCCCACCGTCATCAGGTGTCCCCAGCTCTTCATTGCCATCCCCCTGTCCCCTACCCTGCCCCTGTGTCCCCATCTCTGCAGCTCTGACCTGTCCCCCTATCCCCGACCCTGCCCCTGTGTTCTCATGTCTTCATCCCTGTCCCTGCATCTCTGACCCATCCCTATGTCCCCTACTGTGTCCCTATTCTTGAGTCTCTGACCCATCCCTATGTCCCCTACCCTGCCCCTATGTCCCCATCTCTTCATCCCTGTCACACCCCTATGTCCTCTACACTGTCCCTATGTCCCCATCCCTGCATCTCTGACCCATCCTTACGTCCCCTACCCTGTCCCTGTGTCTCTGACCTGTCCCTATGTCTTCATCCTTGCATCTCTGACCCATCCCTATGTCCCCATCGCTATCCTGTGTCCCCATCTCTACAGCTCTGACCTGACTCCTACCCTGCCCCTGTGTCCCCATCTCTTCATCCCTGTCCCTGCATCTCTCACCTGTCCCTATGTCTCAGTTCCTGCAGCTCTGACTTGTTTCTATGTCCCCTTCCCAGTCCCTGTGTCCCCACCCCTGCATCTCTGACCCATCCCAGTGTCCTCTACCTTGTCCCTGTGTCCCCATCCCTGCAGCTCTGACCCATCCCAGTGTCCCCTTCCCTGTCCCTGTATCTCCCTCTCTTCATCCCCATTCCTCCATCTCTGACCCATCCCCATGTCCCCATCCCTGCACCTCTGACCTGTCTCCATGTTCTCTGCCCAGTCCCTGTGTCCCCATCCCTGCATATGTCCCTACCCTTTCCCCACATCCCCCATCTCTCCATCCCTCTTCCTCCATCTCTGACCCATCTCTGCACCCCCTAACCCATCCCTCCACCCCCTGTAACCCCTGTACCCCATGTCCCCGTGTCCCCCTGCCCCATCCCGCCGTCCCCTCACCATAGATGACGTCCTGGCGCTTCATGACGTCCATCTTGTGCTGCTGCAGGTAGCTGTTGTCCACGGCCAGGCTCCACGAGTCCGCCTCAAAGTCCTTCCCGTCCGTCTCAAAGTCGCTCAGCAGTTGGTTGAGGATCACGTCGGGGCCTGCGTGGGACGGTGG